AGAGCGGGCTGTGGTTGTGTGAAATGCAATCCTAGGGGCAGTGGGGCTGCTTGTATTAGTAAGGTCAGCAGGATTTGCTCTCAAATTCATCCAGGCATTACTGCGCACACTAATGAAATGTGCAGCGCAGAAGTATGGACTTCTACTTCACTAAGGATAATAAACAGTAAAATATAAGGTTTTATTATGGTATATATTACAATTTTCCATTATTTGTCATCTCCTCTTTGCCTCACCTTTATTAGGTGCCACCTCGGCTCTATGAGTTGAACCTTCGTACACGTATTTTTATAAAAAGGAGAATTCAAAAGTTTTTTCCCTAGCACCCTGCATCAGAATAACTGAGATTCTACACAACCACAGTTACGGCTGCAGATTTCTGTGCGTGCCACAAAGAATTAATTGTGCAATCATCCTGCACTCGTCATCAGTGTGAGAGTTTACAAAAGTCACCTCTTAACTTTTAAAAGTTATTCCTCTTCCAACAATGTTCTTTAGTTTATGAAATGTGGCCAGCCACCTTACTTAATGGCCTGGTCGTCAGCAGTTTTAGAAAGATTATTGCCTTTGTATTTCGCACAGCACATTTGCGTATAACCAAAACAATCTAAAAAGAAACCACAAATTGTAAAATCCTGACCACGTAATTTTTGAGTTAATAGGAAACACGAAACCTTTACGTTTAGTGAAGTAACTTTCCAGGTGTCCCTGTTTTTCTAATAAACAGTTACTATTTATTAAAAAAAAATCAATATATAAAAGGACAGTATTGTATTGAATTAAAAGCTCCAAGACAGATAAGTTCTGTTCTTTCCCTGTATGGACGCTAAGGGCCCATTCCTTTTTTTTTCAAAGCTTCTACAGACAGCAGCCCCACGGTGTAAGTCCATTTCATAAAGGCACAGGGAACAGATAGGTCTAAGTTGAGTTCAACTTTAGTGTCTGATAATCCCAGCAGCTTTTGAAACTAACAGGTAATCATTAAATAAAAAATACTTTGGACTGAATAAAAAATAAAAAGCTTTTCAGGCTAAAATACAAAGCCATAATTGGGATGATTTTGACAGCTATATCTGTCCTGAAAATTAAAGGTGGAATGTGGGAGCTGGATTACCTGGGCAGAAGGGCATGTGATTACTGAATTCTGATGATATTACTCTTTATCCAGCTTTGCAGAGCGCACACAGTTTGCCTCTGTCACTTGTGACAATTTTCGATTGCCTCTTCTGTGCGTTGCTCACTTTAGCAAGGTAGAAACAGCACCTGTTTAGACTCTAGTTTGCAGGACTTTCATGGCAAAAAATGTGCAGGGGAGAGATTTTAGAAATAAGATGAAGTATATCATGATGTATGTATTCCAGATATTTTCTGTTTACAAAATGGAAAGTTGGTGTTCATGAATGTCGATGCGTATTTGAACGATTTGGCTGGTAGGTAGGTGTCCCTTCCTGGGGCGAACCAGAGCAGCTCAGGCATGTGTGATGGGCCTTCTGCAGCTGCTGGGGATTTAGCTCAAGTGGCTGGGGCTTTTGGAATGGAGGAGGTGAAGCCCATCGCTGCTGCTGCACCCGGGAAGTTCTGCCGGGCAAAAACATCACCATGGTGATACCAGAAAGTTTTAGGGAATCGAGCTTTGTTGCAGTGGTGAGGCAAGACGGAGACCTGCACCCGGGTAAGCCCTCTGTCACACTAAAAGGGTCAGAAGAGAAGCAAACAGGTCATCTCGAATGAGAACAAAACCAAGATTTAATTCTTTTTTTTCCTAGCTGGTCTGAAAGACTCTGAGGAAACATTGCCAAATCAGAAGGAATCTCAGCAACTTTCAAAATCTAGTCGGACTGGTTTGCTGTCAGCCTGGCTGGATCTCTGGCGGCTTACGTGGAGGGCTCCTCTGGAGCTTGGACCTGCAGCACATGCGGCTGTGCGGGCAGCCTGGCCGGCCGGGCACCGAGCATATAGGGGTTTGATAGCCTGCGGTAGGGCATCTCTAGGGCTCCAGGATTTGTGAAAGACAAGTTTGGGGTTTTCTTCCTCCACATTTGAATTAAAATCAACTTGCAAGAATCAAAACATTTTGCGATCTGGCAGGGGTCTGTATCTGTGGAGGTCACCTGAGAGATGGTGGGAAGTTTCCTACAGAAGGAGGGTGTCGAGCGCTGTCCCCACGGCTGCTCTGAAGCCCCTGAGGCAAGTGGTGGGCATTTACAGCAGCGAAGTGTTACAGGGCCATAGAGGCCGTGTAAGGAATTTCTCCGTGGTTTCAGCCGTAGCTTTTGGAGGAAATAATTTAATAACCCTTTTCTTTAGAAGTATTTGTGGTTGAGGTACCTCGTGTAACAGAGCTGATTCCTCAGCTGGTTAGCAGCAGCAGCGGAGCTGTGAGATATTACAGCTCGAGGAACTGTCCCCTTGGTTTTGTACAGGTGTGTTGCAGAAGTGAAACCAGCTGAGTCTACATGTTGAGCTTGCTTGTTTATTTGAGTAATTTTGGAAACATTGCCATTCCTGACACTGCAGCTGTGTTTTTGAGGTCAGTAGGAGCAGGACATTGACATGTACAGCAGTAAAAGTGTGATGTTGTGGCAGAGACGTTTAATCTGGCCTTGTGGGAATTCATAGATGTAAGAGGAAAGCACCATTAACTCTTGCATCGGGAGGATGCAGTCTCAGTTGTGTCTGCCGTGCTGTACATACCCACGCACTTTTAAAGAGTGAAAAGTAAGTTTACTTTCAGAGTCTGTGTGTGTACACGTGCCTGTAAATCATGTATTTTCTTAGCTCCTTCATCTCTCCCAGAATCTCATCTTTGCTGGTACCCGCAGCAGCACTAGGTTAGCTGGCCGCGTTGGCGCAAGGTTCCCCGACAGCAGAGCCCTGCCAATGCAAACAGCGTGCAGCAGCTCGTGCTGCTGGGCGCCTCCATCGCCCCAGCACACAGCCACAGCTGCTCGGAGGAAGCGCTTTTTCCTCGCAGACGCGCTGGGAAGGAAAAACTCACTTTTAATTCTGGGGCTGCCATCTGGAGCTTCAGAAAACGCTTGAACATTTTGCAGAAAGAAGATGGTTCCTGAGATGTGGTCAGCCGGAAGAAAGTCTTCGGTGGCGTTTGGCTGGTTTGTGTCTTACGTGATTCTCATTGTGCTTTCAGATCGATCCCAGTCATCCTGTCTCACTTGTGTTACGTGTGTTTACCTGTAATACCGCAGGCAATGGCCCAGCTGTGCTTCTGAATGCCTGTGGCCCTTCGAGTACCTCTTCTACATCTTTCTTCACCTCTGGAAGCAAAGCAGAGGTTCTTCAGAAACAGCCTTGTCCCACCTAGGAGGGTGTGATTGGAAACTCCGGGCAAGTAAACCCTGCGACGACTTAATTCAGAAGGGAATATAGGGCTAAAATGGGTGAGGGTAAAGAAAAAGGCTACTTGATCACTTTATAAAGTTAATGTCGATGAACAGGGATGATAAATGGACTGTGAAAGAGAAGCTTCATGACATAAAGTTGAGGGATGCCTAGTAGAGTAATTTCCCTAGGGCAGAGGAGGGCAGCCGTCCTGAGGTCAAAGCACGAGCGATTCCCCATATACGCACACTGGAGCAGGCACGGATGGAGCCTGTGACGTTTGTTGTGGCCAAAAGAGGCAGCAGAAAAACTGAATTACAGGCGCAGCCTAAGGATTTGGGGCTTGAGAGTTTCTGTCAAGTGCGGATGAGGATGTATTTGCACGCTTCCGACAGGAGAGGAGACCGCGGGAGAAGGAGCAAATCCTCCTCATCTCTCATCCCCTCCCTGCTCGGTGGGTAGCACCGATTACCAAGCGGCCTCTCAGCGGGGAGCGACGAGGAGCGCCCAAAACACACTTGGAAGTGAAACCTAGGAGCAAGGCGGGGGGCAGCGCAAGGACCGACCCCCTCCTGCTGCCGGGGCGGCGGGCAGACCCTTACCCTCTGCCCCTGCAACCTTTAACAGAAACGCATCCAAGCGGTTTGCAAGAGGCGTGTAATTCTTCCTCTAAAGCAAGGATGGTATTTGGCCCAATTACTTTAATAATAGGTGCAAGAAACATTAAAGCCTTCCTTTAAAAAAAATAAATAAAATAAAAAAAAGCCTGGTAGGAGTTGCTTTTTCTTCTCGGGTCCG